TTTATGGAAGCCAGGGCTCCTCATCTCTTTGGGGAATTTGTTCCTTTTGATGCTTCCATTTCAGCTTTACCAACATGTGAGCCTGGCAATAAAAGCCAAAGTTGGTCAGTGAGGCCCCTTCTGGAACTTTCCTGCTCCATTTCTAAGGAGAACTGGGCTAGATAAGCAACAGTGTGGAGGGCGAGAGCTGGCACAGAATGGAAGAAAGATTCTACAGGCAGAAAAGAGAAGCACATAGTGATATTTGGTTATTATGTGCCAGGCAATGCTGCCCTTTGTCCAAGTAGTTTTTTTTGGGGGGAGGAGGGGTACTTGGGAGATTGAACCCAGGCCCCCTGCACATTCAGCAAGTACTTTGTCTTTGACCTATTCCCCAGTCCTCCAAGTTATGAGTTGGCAACTGTGATGCCTGCATTGGTACCCTTATTTCAGAAGGGGAAACTGAGGGTCTCAGAGGGAAGGGCCTTGCATAAGATCAGTGTGAACAGTAGGGGAAGAAGGAGGAATTCTACTTCTAATAAGCAAATAGGTAGGATCCTGAAGAGGAAAAAGAGAGAGAGAAAGAGAGAACTTTGCCAGCATCAATGCACTGGTAAAGGCACATCTGGCCCAGATCGCAAGATGGAACAATGTTAGGGCGGCCCCAGATTGTCACCGCCCTGCAGCTATTCTTTTTCCCAACTGGGGACCTTCAGTGCCTCATTTAGAGCACCACTTGCGAGGGGCTCTGCATCTGCTCCAGTCTTGGAAATGGGAGCAGAGGAGCCAGTTTGGTTCCCACATGAGCTACACACAGAAGAAACTCTCCCCAAAAGACAGTTCTGCTGATTCCAGGCCACTCAGGTTCCCCCTGGAACTCTGCGAAACATCTGGGCCTTGACCTTCATAGGAGGATGGGGTGCTGGATGGGGGACCCTCTAGAAACCATGTCCTGGGAGAAACTGCTGAGGGGCACAGGAGCATTCAGGGAAGGAAAGGTGTGCAGCCCTGTGGGAGGTGGCCTGGGGAGGGCTGCAGAGCAGATCCAAGGTACCAAAGGGCAGGAGGCCACAGGCCACGGATGCAGAAGTGCAGATTTTAAATCAGTACAAAGAAACCTCCTAATTGAAGACAGAAGACAAAATGGGCTGTGGTCAGGGACAGTGAGGGTCCCTCTGTGGAGGAGGCTGATGGCTGCTGGCCAGAGGTGGATGAAGGGTGTATGCTGGGTTCTGCTTCCACTATAGGCACATGCCTTTGGTTCTAGGAGCATCCATGGTCATGGGCATCACTATGTCCCTGGTCTTGGGGGGATGCTATTGACTCCTGTCCAACTTTCCTCAACTGACGGTGATGATAGTTTAGTTTTTATTTTTATATAGAAGAAAAATTCATGGAGAATTAGGATTTATGTTTTACCATATTCGTGGCTCACATAATGTCTTTATTTGCAGTAGCCCCAGAAATTTCCTCTGATTAAAGAGAAAGATATATGCCCCTCCCCACCCTGACACCATGCCAACAGAGGAGGTGCAGAAACCAGCTGATCAGTACCTCCCAGCCCCAACAGCCTACGAAATCCCAGTAGACAAGAAGAATGTGACCCTTGCTGCTGGGCCCTAGATTTTATCCTCAGTACCCATGCAGGGCCACGGAAAATTCCAAGAACCCTCAACTCATTGCTATACCAGGCCCAGAAGCAGTGCCCTCCTCATTTAGAATGTTTGCCTGACCAAGGATGCTCTTGGAAAAAAATATGTCTACTTTTGCCTGCTTAGAAACCCAGACAGATCCAAACCCCAGAGGAGTTTAGAGAGCTGGAGCCAGGAGAGATGAAATGCTATGCCCTAACTAGCCACAGCTAGACCTTATTCAGAGATAAGATGTTAGGGTAGAACGTATTTAGGGGCCATGACCCCTAGTCCCCCATGCTCAGTGGTCAGAACCTGCCTCCAGGTTCCGCAGCCTCACAAGTGCCTGAGAAAAAGAGACCATGTCTCCTTTAAGGCAGGGGCAGTTTGGCTGTTCTGCCCTCCTAGGATGACTGCACTCCTGTCCTTCCTGAGAAACATGGATGAGGGAGGGGCTGGCCCTTTCTGGATCTCTGGGATGGGATGCTTGTTGGTCATAGCATGGGGACAGCATGGGCCACCCACAGCTCCCTTCTGCAGGGCAGAGTCTGGTTCCCCTCACCCCAGAGAAAGGGTTTTCTAAAACCCCTAGTGGGTGATCAGGTTGGGCTGGAGGCCCCAGGAGGAAGGGGTACGGGAGGTGAAAACAGTAACCTCAGGTGATGCTGCGAGGCTTTTCTGAATGAACACTTCCAAGCCTGCGGCTGTTCCGGGTACCAAGTCCTGCTGAGAGATGTCCTGGGTCCTCTGGGACTGCAGGGGAGGCCCAGGGCCAGAGGAAAGAGAGAGGGGGAGGAAGGAAAGGAGGGACAGAGATAGAGAGAGAAAGCAGGAGAGAGAGACATACAAAGTCCATCAATAGCCCAGTTTTGTAAGTCCCACCTCCTTAGGACTTGTGCATTCAGTCAGGAAGGAGCCACTCTGTGGGTGAGACAGAGAGGGACAGCCCTTCTAAGACACTTAAGGGAGGGAGTCCCACAGTCAGCTACAAGGCAGTACTGAGGTCCCAGACTGTCCCTTGTGGCCTGCCCCCTAACATTCTGGAATTTATGGAACCACACCATTTGGACCCTGATTCTGAGTCCCCCCCCACTGGGTGTTATTGGCTTAGACTAATGGTTCAATCCTGCAATTGGGGCACAGCCCCATTTAAAGAGTTATCTTTAAAACTTGGATCTATTGCTCTCCTCATGGCCTGAATGGGACCCAAAAAGCTCTGAGGAAACTACTAGAAATTCTGGGTGATAGCTCTCTGCAGGGTCACCCACATAGCACATATTTGGGTCAGGGATTCTAGTCACCATCAGTAATGGCTCCGTAATTGTCTAGCACTTCCCGGTTGATAAAGTGCTTTACTCTTCATTATTTCCTTCAATCTTGCCAACGACCTTCCTATGGAGTGGCAATTCCAGTCCTCTTTAGACAGACTAGGCAATGAAGTTCAGAAATCACTCACCCAAGGACCCAGTCAAATCCTTTCTACAGTTCCTCCCCATCTCCCAAATCTTCGCTCTTAAAAGCAAGACGTCCTATCAGCCATTTCTAAATGCCCACAGCTCCAAGGTGACCTCCTGGGCTGTAACTGTTTAAAGCAGTGGAGACCACACAGCTTGGGCTAAGGAGGCAGCAGAACAGACTTTACCTTATTATTGACTCATCTTCTAGCAGTTCCAGACATCACCAGCAGGTGGGGCACATCCCCAAGCCAGGCTGCTCTGAGACCCCAGGTCACCAGTAATCATTCTTCCTTTCCCTGTTGGAGTCTGACCCTTTTAGTAGCCTCTGCATCCCACTTCACCTCCAGCCAGGCCAAGGATTGGCCTACCTCAGGAACAATTAGAAGCCACTTTGGCCAAGTCTCTCTTTAGAGAGTCAGGGGATGGGGGAGGTAAGCGCCAGATCACTAAACCAGACACCAATTTCCCCAATTTCCAATCAGAGTGTTGGTTGTGCCAGGGACCACAGAAGCCCTTAGTAGATGCAGAGGTTTTCCCTCCTTCAAGAGCAGCCGTCGTGAAAGCCCCCAAAGCATCCCTAACTTTGTGAATCAGCAATCAGGGAATCCCAGTAGCTCTGCTACAACACGCTAGGCAAAGCCCTGTTATCTGGCAGGCTCAGACCATGGCTAGTACTGATTCAATCAAGTGCTCTACAAATTAGATCATGGCTGCAAAACCCATTTTCAAATCATTAGAGGGAAGCACATGCACAATGGACTCCATACTTGGTCTTCATGATTTGGTCTTGCTCCAAGGCAGATATGATTTGGTAGTAAATACAATGACCTGCCACACTATAAAAGTGGTTTATGGCCCCTCTTCTTTCAGCTACAATGCTGAACAGTTCTTCTTTCTGAGTCTCAGTACCCCTATCTGTAAAAGGACCTTGAACCAAGTGTTTCAAGATCCTTCAAACTTTAATTTAAATAAAACAAAACAGTAAGTAACTTGTACTGGGCATTGAGGTGCCATGCTGGTCCCTCTCCAGGAATTATCTCATTTGATTCTCACAATATCCCTATGAACATTTCTGCCTAACGGAGCCTCAGACAGATTAGGTATAACAAACTCAGAGTCCTCCAGCTACCAGGCAGTGGAGTCAGAATTCAACCCAGGCAGCATAAGTCTAGACCACAGTTGGTTTGAGGCCAATCAGCAGCCTCTCTAGGGAGAAATACCTATGTATAAACTGGGGTAAAAACTGCCAAGATTTTGCAAGTGCTTGGGATTATAATATAGGAATTTCCCAAATCCTATCTTTATCTCTTTTGCAACAGAGAAAACACTGTCCACACTTTCCACTGTAAAAGTCAGAGTGTGTGGGGTCCTTTTTGGAAGCCCAAGAAGCAGGTGTGCTTTGTGTGGTGAACCCGATCCCCTTTAGTGGATTCCGGGGCTCCTTCTAGGAGGGACCAACCCCCGACACACACATTGCATTTTTACAACATGTGCAAAAGGGTCTGGTTACTGGATAGGGCTACCAAGATTCTCAAAGTTTATTGTGCAAGAGAATCACCTAGAACTCTTGATTAGAATGCTGGTTCCAGAGCTCTACCACCAAATATCTGATTCAGCAGAACCAAGAAGGGGCCCTGGAACCCACATTTCTAACAAGGACCCCTTCCCCATCATACTCTGGCTGATGGAAGAAGAGTACACCAAGCTACCACAAGTCTTTGGAGCTTCCATGTTTCAGGGTGGTCTCTGGGACTCAGGATTCCAAGATTTAGTGAATGTGTCCCCCTGAGCCTAACCTGCCATCCCACCCCCATCAGCCAGGCCACACTGGGGGAAGCATGTTGGTGTTAGAATGAGTGTAAATCATTACATTGCAACCTCCCACTGCCTCTTTACCCAGGGTCCCTGTTGAGGACTTCAGGGTGACACCTACCTCGTTGGCTTTCTCAGGAGTGCCCTTGGGGGAGGGGGAGGCAGGTGAGGATGGCAGCCTGCGCTCCCGCTCCCAGTCTCGATCCCTGTGGATCAGTTTGCTGTTGGGCTCCTTCAGGGTCCTCTTGAGTTCGTTGATACTGGCCTGGTGCTTCAGCAGGACATCCTCTGGCTTGTCCAAGAACTAGAGATGGACAGACAGGACAGCAGAGTTAGGCGAACAACTCCAAGTGGGGGATGCAGGGTTTGGGGATGGTGGCAGCAATCACCATCACCACCCCAAAACCAGCAATGTGATCTCCCCAACACTGCCTCTCTCTCACAGCAGCCCCAGGAGCCAAGTGAGCCAAGGAGCATCAGCCCCCATAGATACACTGACTGAGGTACAGGGCACTTGTGCTGACAAAGAGGAGACTCCAGATCAAGCCATCTTCTCTTCTCTCCTGCCTGGCTCCCTGACCTCTGAACACGCAACTCAACCAAAGCCCCTCAGATCTGTGAGCCCAGTGGTAGTCAGGCACACAGAAGGCTTTCCTCTGGCATAGCATACAGCATCCACCAGAGCAAGAACTCCCTTGTCATGTGTCCTGGACTGTTCTAGCTTGCAGGCTAGCCTTCCAGGTCCCTCTGGGACCTTAGTTCCTACCTTTTGGTGGAGATTTAAACCACCATACCTAGCAGGATGTTCAGTCTAGGTCCCTCTAAGGTCCAACCTGCGCAACTGCTCATACCCTAAGGAGGTCCAGAGTGCAGATATGCCTAAAGCTAGTGCTATCCATAGAAACGGGGTTGCTCCCTCACTGGGACCAGGGGCCAAGAAAAGACTGTGAATCCTCTCTGCTGTGAGCCACTATCTTCCCAACCACCTGGATCCTCCAGATGCCTTTTGTGTATAGACACCAATAACAGATGGGCTGAGACATGGCCAGTTACAGATTAGGATGCTGCGGGATGTTCAAAAAGAATGGAGACCAGGAAGAAGAGGGGTAAGTCCCAAAGCTGAGCGCAAGAACTGAGCCAGGTATATCTGGAGTCATGGGTGTGTCCTCAATTAATCCACCAAGTCTGAGCTTCTGTCGGTGCAGCATGATGGAGTACTCTGCCTAGGTCCAGCGAGGACAAGCCACTGGTGGCCTGTCAAAGCTGTTTAACTGCCTGCCTCTAGGCACAGCAGTGGGCCAGCAGCCCATGCATGAGGCTGTTTGAAGGCTCGTGATAGCTCTGTTAAGGGCAAGAAATGGACAATCTCAGCTTATTAAAGTCAGATCAGATGGGTTTAGGAGAACAACCTGAGAGTTAAGCACACTTGGGACAAACCTGGATTTTTTCTCTGGGTTTATCCATGGCATCCAGGGAGCCACTGTGGTTGACTCCTAAGCTCCCTCAGGAAGGAGACTGATCCCACTGGGGCTTCTGCATCCCTCCAGACACCTGCCTTTACCTCTGGCCTCTCTCCCTAGACTGAACTTCCCACAGGAAAAATCTGCCTAAGAAGTCAAATCTGATGGAATCTGCACAAGGGGTGGGTTTGGGCTATAATACTTCATGGATCCCAATCCAGGAGGACCCCAAATTGCCCTGCTGGCTCTGTGGGCATGTCATGCTCCCAAAGGGAACATGGTAGAGTGGGAATCTGGGAACCTGGGAGACTTGACGGTCAGGGCATTGAAGAAACCTAGTCCATGGGCCTGCTGTGGCTCAGTAGAGCACTGGCCTAGCATGTGTGAGGCACTGGGTTTGATCCTTAGCACCACATAAAAATAAATAAAATAATTATTTTAAAATACCATAACCATTATAAAAGGAAAAAAAAGAAACCTAGTCTAAATGCCTCACTATGCAGATGGGGGCTAGGGCTCGAAGAGACTTTCCTAAGACCTTCGAAGAGTCAGTGCAGAATTGGGTTGGAACCCAGATCTCAGGGCTCCCAGGTCAGGCCCTTGCTATGGCCCAGCCTCTGGCCCTTTCCCTTGGTAGCCCAAGGATAAACCTCCTCCTCTTGGAAATTGTAAAAGGGAAACAGTAGTAAACACAGGAAGAATAAATTGAGGGTGGGAACTAACAGGAAGAGGAAGAGAAAAGGAGAAGAGGCTTTTGGTGGAGCTGCAACAGCAGCTGCCCTGGAGGGAAGTGAACTGGAGTCTGAGCAGAGGCAGATGTGCTCAAATGCTCCCCCCTCCCACCCCCCCCGCCCCCACACACATCTGGTTGCCAAGAGAAACCAAAAGAAACTTCAGGTGAGGACACAGATGAGATGGAGGAGTGACCAAACAGTGCTGTGGGGGAGATGAATCTAAGGAAGGGTCGGAGTGGGGGATGCAGGGAGATGAGCTAAATGGAAGCACAGAATGGCCTGGAAGAGCTGGCAGACACAGGTGGGGTGGTCAGGTAAGAAGCAAGCATGGAGCATCAGGTGGGCTGGAGAGGTAGAGGGTGAAGCTAGGTGGAGGGTGGCAGGGGTGAGGAGGGAGGGACAGATGGCTTGTTGGGAGCAGAGTCCAAGAAGGGAGTTGGAGAGATGAGCTTCCATAAGGGCAGAAGCAAGGGTGACTGGAGAGGGGGATCACAGGAAGGAGGAGGGCAGGACCAGCGGAGATGAAGCTGAGGTGGTGTCGGGGGAATGAGCCGGGGAAGGACTGTGAGATGGTTACACATGAGCTGGAGATCTGAATGGCTGGGTAGGGAGGGACAGGTCCCATGCAGTACCTCCTGCTTGTGTCTCGGCGTGGTTTCCTGCTCCGGCTAGTGGGACATGGCAGGAGGGAAAGGAACCATCAGGGTCAGTAGAGCAAACAGATTAGAGATACCGCGACTGGCCTGGTCCCGCAAGGTGGCCCAGCACACTCACACTCCACCAAGCAGCACGGGCGCAGGAAGCTGCTGGGCCACCCATAGGGTAGTGAGGTAGCCAGAGTAGGTGCAGGATGGGAAGCAGGGTACTGCCCCAGAAAGGCAAAGAAGGGCACAGGGTTCTGGAGGAAAGCAGGCAGAGCCACGCTTGGTTTGTGGGGCTTGAGGTGTCTGGGGCCTCATGCTTCTTGCTGCAGTGGGTGTGTCCAGGGGCCTATGCTCACATGGCAAAACTAAACGATGGAAAAAAAAAAAACCTGCTTAATAACTCCTAGAGGAAGCCATGCCTGGTCTATGTGTGCCCATGCCTGTGTGTGAAGCCGTATGTGTCAGTCTAGGGGTGCGGGGGTGTCTGAGAGTGAGTGCATGTAAGGCTGAGATTGTGCATTACTGCAGGAGCACCAAGGGTGGGGTGCTAAGGCATCAGGAAGGGGACACACCTGTACCTCACCCTGTGAGGCCCATGGTGACATCTGATCATGCTCTGGGGAGGAAGCAGGCAATGCAGAGCCAGATTATAAAGGAGCAGACAAGGAGTGAACCAGAGGAGGCCCAAGTCCTCCAGGGCACGAGGCCCCCCAGGGAGGCTGGGCAAGAAGAGGGAAGAGTATAGGTCAGACAGCATGCCCACCCCTGCTCCCAACCCAGGAAGGCCCAAAGGCAAGGCCTTGAGCACCCCACAGCAAAGGTGACTGGCCATAACTAGAGGTAAATCTAAACCATGGGTTGGCTTCTTGATCCCCAGTGCACAGGGTAAAGGAAAGCCAGGCTCGTACCTTTAGCTCCTTGATCTTGGTGGGGGTCCTGACCTCTCCTTCCTCAGCCTCTGACCGCCGTCCTCCGGACTCTGCATCCTCTTCCCGCTTGTCACCATCAGGCCCTACATCATGGTTTTCACTGACTGAGGCCGGGCGGGAGAACTCCGCTAAAGTGGGCAGAGGTGACAAGATGAGTATGTGAGAGGTCTGTGCGTGCACAGGAGGGCAGCCCAGCTGCTGCTTAACCATGCTTTCAGTGGAGCCAACTTCCAAGCCTCCAACCTATTGCCCACTCCTAGTCCCACGGCTGGTGAATAGCAGAACTGTCTCCCAGCCAGGCCCCTTCCTACTTTCTGCAATGCTAGATTTCAAATCTCAAATCCAATTTGTGCTCTATGACTTTGGGTAAATTACACAATCTCTCCGGGTCTTGGTTTTCTCATCCATACATAGTACCTACTATAGACACTTGGGGTGAGGAACAAATAGCTAATGTGTGTAAGCATTTAAGAGAGTATTCAGGAAGGAGTGAGCCTTCCACTGATGCTGGCCCATAAATGTTGCTGTTTGGGCTGTGGTCACTTGTGACAGAATACTCCCTTGATCATTATTTAGCAATATACAGATATCGTAAGATTAGCTTTACTGGTGAAAACTAAAGTCCTAAAGATTGCAAATTACTTATCTTCTTTATAAATTAGTGAGAATTCAAGGAGATCCCTAGGGTAAACATCTTTCTCACTAACTGGTATTTCAAAATACTTTTCTGAAATAGAAAATTGGGGTAGGATTATAGATCTCACACTAGGCACTGGGCATAAGCCAATCACACTCATGGATTGAGTGTTGGTGAAAAATAGGCTCGAAAACACTGAATTAAAATAGCTAGATCATAGATATTTATCCTTGGGGTTGGCCTCCTCTAAAAGGAGAAAATAGAGAGAATAATGATCCTTTTTTGTTATTATTGTTCCAGGGATTGAACCCAGTGGCACTTTACCACTCAGTCACATCCCCAATCCTTTTATTTTTTTATTTTGAGACAAGATCTTTGTAAGTTACTCATGGCCTTGCTAAGTTGCTGAGGCTGGCCTTTAGCTTGTGATCCTCTTGCCTCAGCCTCCCAAGTCACTGGGATTACCGGCATGCATCACTGCACCTGGCTAATCATCCTTTCTTTTCATGCATACTCACTTTGCAAAGTACCCATTTTTGCACACTATTTCATTTGATTTGTGCAATACTCTGTGTTCTACCATGGGGATTACTATCCCTATTTTTACAGAGAATAAATTGAGACCCTCAAAACAGGAAAGGTCCCACTGGTGATCTTCCAGTGAGTCTGGATGAGAGCCTAGACTTTGGGCTTAGAGTCCAGACTTCTGCTTCTCCTCTGACGAGCTTTGCCAGCTATGAGATAACCTGTGCTGCTTTCTGCTCTCCAAAAAGTAGGCTTCATTTAGCCCCTGGAATAGGAATGGTATTGCAGAAGGAAGAAGAGATCGTAATGCAGAAGGGAAGCAGAGATCGTCGTTTCCTTTGCATGAACCACACATGCATTCTCCTTGTAGGATGTCAATCTGCACATTGCTGAGCTTCTTAGGCAAGAGGCCCAGAAAACCATCTGGCTGAACCTAGGAGCCCACAAGGTCATGACTCAGGGAAGCTGTGGGAAGTCCCAAGAGCAGCAGTGGCACATCCCAAGTGGTAGTGGGAAAGTTGGCACTGAATCACCAAGAGCTGCCTAGGTACAGTGGTGCTTCAGGGCTGCCATGATTGGTGTGAACGAACTTGCAATGTGTTCACTGCTCACTCTGTTCACTAAGAATCACTACTCATTCTGCAGAACCTGGCATGTCCACTCCCTTACTTGCCTCTAAAAAACACTCTTCTCCCACTTCCAATTTAGGACATACCTCCATCAAGGCTGCGGGACATGGTGTACCGTTTGCTGGAAGAACGCTCAAAGAAGGGTGCAGGCCTGTCAATGAGGGCACTGGCCTGGCGGGTCTGTGCCTGGGTCCTCCCACTATACCGGAACTTGGAGCCCATCACCAGGAAGCCCTTTGGTGGAGGCTCAGGGGACACCAACCTGCAGTGGAAGGAATGGAGGTGAGGAGGGAGGATCAGACCTGCATTGCCAGGCCCAAGGTTAGACCACAGCAGGCCTTCTGTCCCACTGCCCCATCATCTACAACACCATGAAGAGGTCCAGGAAGAGGGAGACTTGGCCGAAGCGGGTGCTTCCCTGCCATCTCCACTAACTTCTCTTCCTGCTCCTCTCTACCTGTATGGCCTCTGCTTCATACCTGCTTACCCCAGCCCAGGGTCAACTCACCGGAAGAACGTGTGATGCTCAATGCAGACCTTCCACAGTCTCTTGGCTGACCGGTGATTTGGGAGCTTAAAGCCAATCGTGCTCTCAAACTGCTCGTACTAAAAACCAAGATAGGTGGGTGAGAAGCAGGCTTGGGCCACTCCCACCACCAGCCCATCCTGTCTGAACCTCTTCTGGGGCATGTGCAACTCTGGCTGGTTCATTCATGTAATCAACAAGGAGGATCAAGCCCTTCCTCTAGGATAGACCTGGTGCTAAATACACAGCCATCGTGGAGAACAAGACAGAAGATTCCAGGGAGTGCGGGACTCAGATAATAAATGAGTAAACAAGGTAACTGCAGATATGAACAAGGGCTATGAGGAGAATAAAGGGAGATGTGCAAGAGGAGAGGACAACTGAGCAGCCTGGGGTTGGGGTGACTTAGAAAAGGTGACTAGGGCTGCCCTCTAGCCAGATGTGCTTTGAGCTGAGATCTGAAGGATGGGGACATGCTAGAATTTGGATCTTAATGTGCCCCAAAGGGCTGTGTGTTAAAGGCTTAGTTCCCAGCATGATGCTAGGTGGTGAGGCCTAGCAGAGGTTTTAGGTCATTAGGGATCGTCAAAAGCATTTCTTCCTTTTTTTTTTTTTTTTGGTATGCTGGCCCTGAAATTAAGTTTGGTCCTACTTGCATGCCTGCCATGTTGGGGCTCTCATCACAGGTCCAAAGCAATGGAGCCAATCAGACAAGGACTAAAATCTCCAAAACCATAAACCAAAATAAGCCTTTCCTCTTTATAGGTCTATTATCTCAGAAATTTTGTTACAGTAACAGAAACTATCACAGGGAGGAACCAACCATGTGAGAAGAGGGGGAAGAGACTTTCAGGCAGAGGGAACATCACATGCAAAGGATACAGGGGAGGAAGGAACTTGATTTATTCAAGGATTGCAGGAAAGGCTGGAGGGGCTAGGGCATCGTGGGTATGGGGAGGAGTGGCAAGAGAGAGGTGGGAAAGGTAGGTGGCCATGAGAATTCAACTTCAACCCTATAGCTAAAGAGCGCTCCTGAAAGTTCAGGCAACGAAGGTGAGGAAGTTGAGGCTGGGGGTTGGAAGGATTCAATTTAAAGGATTTTAAAGATCTTCTTAGCAGCAGAGGAAAATGGCCTGGAGCACAAGAGGAGGAAGGGAGGCCAGCAAAAGGGTTATGTGAAGATGTCAGTGAGAAATGGCAGCTGTCGCAGCCTTCGTGCAGCAGGAAGAAGAGCAGCAGGTGGGTCACAGATACTCTAATGGTAGAACCAAATGGCTTTGGATGGGAGAGATGTGGAGTTGAAGGGAAAGAGGTGTGGACACATATCTGTATGTGTGTGGTCTCACACCTGTGCATTCACATACATGCTGGAGGACCACATGCAGGCCAACATGTGTGCACACACATGTACTCATTTATCTGTGTAAAGTGAACTGTAGTTACCTTATTTATGCTCGTGTGTATGTGTATGTGTGTGTGCACACGTGCACGTGTGCACATATATCCAAAGTGTGATGTCTGTGGGGAGCCAAGGAGGGGATCTCTCTGTCTCCCATGATCCCCGGCACCCAGTCTATGTATCCTGGGTAAGAAAAACTCAGGCAAGCTGCACTTGGTCAGTCCCAGGAGGAGCAAGGGGTCCCAGGGCAGGCTTACCTCCCCAGGCCGGATCTTAATATAGAAGTTACTCCTCTTGTAAGAGATCTTAAGAATCTTGGGCCAGGCAAATCGGTTGATTCTCAGCCGGTCCCGGTAAATGAGCAGACCATTGGCACAGACGCCTAACATGATGTCAATGCCCTCAGAGTCCTGCATTATAAAGATCAGGGGAAATAAAAAGTTATGAACTTTGAGGAACAAGAAATGAAAATGTTCCAAGTTGCAGGTAACACAGGGTCTGGCACACCAAGTCCTCTGGAGGGGCCTGATGGTTCCTCAGGGGGAATGCAGTACCTTGGCATGGTGCAGATCAACTCCATACATGGAAAGCTTCTTGGCATTCTCGAGGAAGTGGATCTCTGCTTCTCCTGGGGTCATGCCCCTGAGGGAAAGAAAGTGATCACCCAGATCATCCTACACCATGAATTCTCCAGGCCAAATCCTGCTGGCTGAAGGTGGCCACCATCAGACCCATGCTTCTAGGACACTGGGTAGCTGAGTCTCATTTGAGTCCTTCCCCTCTGTCCTCAGGGCAGGAAGGTGAGCCCATCATCCCCACTTCTGTCCAGCCATCCCCATCTCCCACAAAGCTCTGGTCCAGTCTCATTTCCTCCAAAAAAGCAGACAAGGGCTGGTCAGAGTCATATTTTTATCTCATTTGCTACTGAATTAAGCAAGAGCTATAAATCTTCTTCCTTCATGACTGTGACACTATTGCCGAAGACATTGCTCATTATAATCACCCAAGGCTCCTAAATTATTACCCACATAAGATAGGTCTCTCAGAGTTTTGTATGAGAAGCTACTTTATCTCTCCTGGAGAACAAGTACACATTCTCCTTTCTGAAAATAAAAGTTATGTAATTAATCAAGGTTCTTTCTTTGCTTTGGCTGTCGGGAAACTCAGGCTACATTTTATACTTAGTCACAGCAACTGTTTTTTGAGTACCACGTGCCGGTTACTGTTCTAGGTACTTTATGTATATTAATTCACAGAATCCTTATCACAACCCTAAAAGGTAGGTATCATGGTCATTCCCATATTACAGATGAGGAAGCAGGGAAGTTGAATAACTAGCTCAAGGGCCCACTGCTATTAAGTCACAGAGTCAGTATTTAACCCCAGACAAGGTGGCTCCAGAATTCATACTACTAACCACTTCATCACATTTTTCTCTTCTGTCCTCTAAGCCTGTTTAATTTCCCCTGTCTACCTCTGGGCCACTATGTGCTTGGGACACCTGGATGCTAGATGTCCATGTGCTTTAAGTCCAAAGAGCTATAGAGACAACCTTTAGCATATTTCCAGCCCATATTGATCTGAATATCCTTCTCTGAATTATTATGACTCTTGCAAATCCCCAAGGTACCTTACTATCTCAGACAGGGATGACAGATGGTAGGCAGCCCCTCATTCTTGTGCCCAGATGACCATGGCTCACCAGTCAGATCCTACTCAACACAACACCAAGCAGTCAGTACTAGCCAAGCATGGTGGGTTTGTGAGTCTCTGAGAGATGCACTTGCTGCTGTCCTTGACCCAGCATTCATCACACTCCAGCAGGCTCTTCTATGCATCTTCCACCCCTCCTCTCCAGATGCAGCCCACAGATGCAACCCTCATCATTCTCTCCATCCTCCATAGTAACAAGATAACATCACCATGGCCCTTCCCACAGGCAAAGCACTTCACTGTTCATAAATGCACTTTCAAATCATTTATCACATTGGGTTCCCTTAACAACCTTAAGCTTGGAGCCTGAAGTACTTCTAGCTTAAAAGGACCCTAGATCCATTTTGATCCAGGGGTTACCCCCAGGGGTTAGGATGCCCTATAGAAAAAGCACTTGGAAATGGTGGTGGGGAGCATTTTGGTTGTTACAATAACTAAGTGGTGTTGTGAGCACTTAAAGCCTAGGACCCAGGGAGGCTAAACATCCTACACAATGAATTCTCCTGCCCCAAACAGCAATAGTTGAGAAACAGTGATTGGCTAATTCTGTGCATTTATAGGTGGAAAATAGGGTTTTCAGAGACTAAATAATCAGCCACAAACACATATCTGGTTAATTATCTTCTAACTCCTAGAACAAGGTGCTTTCCACAGCACAATCAACTACTCAACCCCTCAACTCACAGATAGCAACCCTAAGAGCCAACATTCAGTGTGTCTTTAATATGTGCCATGTGGCCCTCCTGACAACCCTACAGGGTGGGTTTACTAGCACCACATTGAACAGATGAGCATGCCAAAGCACAAGGAAGTAGAATGGTGTGCCAAGATCCCTTGGTTAGAAAGCAGCAGAGCCAGATGGTGAACCCAAGCAGGCTGGTTTTCGAGTCCAAACTTTTGAACTTTATGCCAAGATCCAGACATCAGGATGCTTACTTGGAGGCACACAGCAGTTATTATTATGTCCACAATAACTCTACATAGTTATTATTATCTCTAAGGCGGATAAACTGGTTTTCAGAGACCCTGGCAGGGAATTATCACACCCATACAGGAACTTAAGAAACTGAGGCCCCAAGAGACCACTTAAAGTCACATAGCTAGTCACTGTCATTCCTGTCGGATGGAGATGATCTGCTCCCAGACACATCTCAGGTTAGGAGCAGAGGCAGCTGGGGTCCAGAGAGCACAGCACCAGGAGTCTAGGACTTTCAGGTCTGCAAAGAGTTCTCTGGTCAAAGGCCAACAGGCCCTCTTACCTGTATGTCTTGTGCAGCTCCATGATCCTCTCCTCCAGCTCCCGGGTCTGGTTAGGAGCAAAGCGGAGCTCACTGACGTAGTTGCCCACATGTTCCTCGGCATCGTAGTCGCCCAGCTCTGCCTGCACAGCATAGGAGCCCAGCAGGGCGTGTGTGACAAAGGAGCAGGGCAGCCGGCCTGTGATGATGTCTGCCCTCAGCTGGAGGCACAGGTAGTACCTGGAGACAGGAGAGAGGATGTGGGCTTGGGCCTGCGCCTTCAGACCCCCCAGCCCGGCTGGGTCCTTGGAACCAAGAGGCTCAACACGTGGCTCTGTGGAAAAGGACACCCCTAGACACTGGAACTTCATGGGTTGATCATTTGGCTGTATCCTGTGAGATGATTCTGTGACATTTCACACCACGTTCAGCATTTTGGCGCATTTCTAAATTTAAAGGGTCTTTTTTCTACCAAAAGAGCATTTGTAATGTCTAATTCATTTTCAAGCTCAATAGGACTACTTTGCTGGTTTTATCCTTTTAAAAATGTCCTGTGATTTTAATTATACAATTAATATAGTCTTACAAGGAAAAAATACAACTTATGAGGTTAGTGCCCTTTTTCATTCCTAATCTCCTCCCCAAGGTCAACACGGTTATCCATGTTGTATTCTAGACATTTCTCCACCACAGACACACAAAAATGTATGTGGTTTTGATGGATGGGTGTTTTTAACTTGTAAATGGTATTGAATGGTATATCTGATTCTGCAGCTCACTTTGTCTCACCAATGACATGCCGTATGTGAGCGCAGTGACTCTACCTCATTCATTTTAACCTCTGCACTCTACTCTACAGCCCAGATGGACCTGCATGCCAATGCTTTCCCAAAATTTTTTATTTTGCCTCCAGCTCTAAATGAATTATCTAAAAAATAAATTGGTTTAAAGAAACATTTTCCGACCACCAAGCCATGATTTTTTTTATAACTTGTAGGCACACTTGGATGATTTTACAATTTTTAGTACAATTTAAAACCATTTTGTTATTGCTTTTTTGGTTATCGTGCATTCAAAAAATTTTTTTTAGTATATTTTCAGCCAGCGATGCCTTCCTGCCCATTTTTGCTGTTTCACCACTTTTTTTCAACTGCCTATTTCTCTTTCAAGTGGCTTTTACTTAGTCCAATTTTTAGTACTCTGTGACATTTTAGAGTCAAACTGAAGCCTTGTCAAAAAAAAGTACATGTGGCCTCAGTGTGTGCTCTGGGCCAAGGTGTAGATCCAGGATCAGTAGCTCAAACGTCATAAGCATCAAGTATGGGCCTATGACATTTTGTTCAAAAGTCTAAAAATTCAGAAATCACTGCCAAACTCTCTGACCAATCTTTCATTTCAATCAATTTGTCATTTTGACCAGTTTATTTTGGGCCCAACTATTTTTGACTAGATCAGCTGCTCCTACCACCCCACCTCCAGGGGCCATCTGTGCTGGGCAAGGCTAACTTCCCTCTTGGTGTTCCTGGAAGCCCAATGCCCAGAGTCTGGCACAAAGAGGAGAGGTACCAGGGGATAAGACTAGAGGGGATGGGGGCTGTGCTGGCCTAAAGCTACAGAGTTCAGATCCAACTGCTGTCACCTTGGCACTGAACTAATCTCAGAGCCCAGAGTGGGGCTAATGAGGCCAAGGCCTGGGGCCTGATCTACTCCAGGAACTTCTGTCTTCTCTCCCAAGGCCAGAGTCAGCATCTTGACCTTGGTCTGTTGCTTGTCAAATAGGCAGCAGGCCTTAAAAAGGGACCTGAGGGCCCAGAGGAGATGGCTTAGCAGCCTCTCCCACTTCAGAAGAACTTCAAACCCATTCTTATTTTGGGGGTATAGGGCCTATGACATGAATGACACAGTCCCAGGATAGCCTGACATGAGGGCATCTCTTTGGCTGGGGCTTAGATAAAGATGGGGAATCTTCTTGCTCTGGTTCCTAGAGACAAGAGAAGCCCATGGAAGCTCCCACTCAGAAGGATGCTGGGCTCTTCCTTTGGATATACCCTCAGGTCACCTTATCTACTGGCCCGAGGCAGCAGACTGGGCATGCAACCATGTTCATCCCGGCACCCAGACTGCCCTCCCCTCCATGGTGGTCACCGGCCTCGTCTGATCTCCACATGCCTGACATGTACACAGAATGACACACAGGACCAAGCCCCCACGTGGCACAGGCACTCTACTCTCTCCTTATCTCCAACACTGCAAACTGGTGTCCACCAGCACATCAGCCTTCACTTGTGTGGGGTTTGTCCCACCACTTTTTAAAAGTTTGCATCTGTTGCTAACATTTCAAGCTTGCAGTTTTCACTCTCCAATTCCCATGGGACAACAGTGGCTAAAGAGCACTGTTTTCAATGGAGTCAGTTCTCTAAGTTCACAATGGGACATAAAGACCACTGTGAGACCGCCTTCTCTGAGGTCAAGGGTCAGCTGCCACTGGCCACTGCATTTGCCTCCCTGTTTCTCTCACACAGCCTGCTACCTTTGCCAATGGCCTGGCCCCGGCAGATAGCCACGTTTGAATCTGCTGTTGTTTACAGTTCCATGTCTCCCAGGCCAAGTGCCCTCATCCATAATCCCACAGAGCCCGTACTCCTGGCCCACCCCTCACCTCGTGATGTCTTCCGTCAGCTGAGCTGGGTCAGGGGGGTAGAACTTGACTGTGAAAGCAAAATTCCAGGGGCTGCCTGAGAGGAGAAGGTGGGGAGAGATCAGAGAGACCACATCACTCCAAAGAGTGGCCCAGATGCACCAGCCTACCAGCAAGTCCTCAAAGTCTTCTCCTATCTCTAAATCTCAAGATAATCTAATCATTGTTCCCACTTGACAGATGAGGAAACTGAGTCCCAGGTTGAGCCTTGTGAGCTATCAATGGGAAGATAGAAAGAGAACTACTGCTGTATATCAGGCACACTGTGAATTACTTCACAAATATCACTTCACTTAACCTCGCAACAACCCTGGAAGTCCTGTGATTAGCCCCACTTTGCAGGTGAGGACATGGAGGCCCAGGCGATAATAGGCTCAATTTCATGTGCATTTGTAGTATTTAATCTTCATAACCACCCTGAGGTCAAGTTTCCTTTTTATAGTTGAAGATTTTGAGAGGTTAAGTCACTCTCCTGGTTGGTGGCAGAGAACAGGTATCCAAATTCTGGTCATCTGATCCCAGAACCCAGGGTCCTGACCACAAGGACTCCTGGGAAAAAGCAGCCCCAAGGGATATCACTGTCTCAGGGATAACAGTAATAATAAATAATAACAATAGCTAGTACATGCTGGGTGTACTGTGTATAGGCACCTTGGTGGGTGCTGTACCTATGATAACCTCACTACTTCTTGTGCTGCTGAACTATTCTCTGCCTTGGTTGCCTTACCTGGAGCCAGGATTCAAATCCAAGTCTTCTGGCCCCAGTGTCTGCCCCAACTTCCCCAGGGAAGCCAGAAGAAAAAAGTGAGCGACAAACCTGTGCTGGGCACTACGCATGCATTTGTCATTTAACTGTCACTCCCCACCACCATATGAGACAGGAATTATTAGTCTACATGCCAAGGAGAAGCAAGGGCCCAGAGGACTTGCTGCAGGCATCCTAGGTGACGGCCCTGAGGCTTGGGAGGAGCTACACCTGATGCTGAAGCTCAGGACACAAGGGCCCATGAAGCCACCTTCAGAAAGCTGAGGGGCTGTTACAACAGAAAGGAGGCCAAAGGGCAGGCGTAGGATGAACGGCTGGGAGGTAGAGGAGGAGGGACAGAGACTGGGGATCCACCAGAGGAGGCACTTTCTAAGGACCAAGCGTACTCCTCAATGGTTTAAGGTGCCACAAGGAACAACTGCTACCTGCCTGGGCAGCGCTGGAAGGCTATGGGCAAGATCTGGAAGGTTCAGGGGGAGGCCGAGGACTCAAGTCAGCTGACTGCCTCTTCCCCAAGCCCTTGGTCTTCACTAAACACTGTACTCTACACTTGGCTGCCTGTACTTGTTTCAATTCCTTCAAAGCATGAGAGGTAGGCCTCTGAGCAGGGCTGGGGCTGCTAAAGGACAATCTAGATCCCAGGTCTAGGACCCTGTCAGCCCCAGAGAAGCACGTTCTGCCTGTGTGCCTGCCTCTTTGTCTTCAACTGACAGGAACCTACAGGAAGAATTCCTCAAGCCCCCTCCCTCAGAGTCAGCTGGCATCCCTGGGCCCAGCTGCCTGCTGTCATGGCAACAGGCTCTGCTACAGCTTTCCAGCCAGGGGACCAGGGAGTCCAGGAGAGAGCGCCACAGCCAGGGGGAGGGGCCCTTAATGGCAGCATCTCTGCCTCCAGGCTCTGTATCCATTTAAAGACTGAGGCCCCTTGCGGAGGCAGCCAAACTCCCCCTTCTTCCATTTGAAAGCTGCCACAGCCCTCCTAACATGCCTTTGTCTCTAGGCCAGGAAGGACAAGTTGAAGGCCTGCTGTCTGCCTTCACAGGGCCTTGAACAGAGTGAAGGATGGGGTTGGGAGGCCAGAGCCCAACTGGCTCAGCCAACACCTGGCTCTGCAACGTAATGTAAGTAACCACCTCTCTGAGCCTCTGAGGAAAGGGGCATTGGTTACTGAAGTCTGCACTAGCTCTGGGCAGGAGGGTGACTGTTTCCAGGCCATCTGTTTGCCCCTGTCCTGAATAACTTTCAAGGTACCTTCTAGGACTAATGTCCTAAATGCATTTATGATTCCTCTGCTAACTTGCCTGACTCTGCACAGTCATTTCTCTTCTCTGGACCTCAGTCTCATCATCTGTGAAACAATGTCAACATCATTCCTGCCCTGTCTTCCCCAAGACCTGCCATGCTGAGCAAAGTCAGAGGGAGCAGGTCACCCAGCCCACCCTTCTACTGCATCTCCAGCCACAGCAAGCCACTCACTCCGGATCTGCTTCTTGATTTCCTTGGAGGGATCCAGCCAGTTCTGAAAGAGAAAACAGGGTTCTTTGGAGGAAAGATGGAGGAGAGGGCCAGATGGGGTTAAGGGAGAAATGTCCTGAAACTGCCAGTTGGGAAAACTTGTTAGTGGAGAACACCCTTCCCTGGCAAAAGAAGCTTTTCCTTTGGGACAGAAAGGTGAGGGGACTGAGGTCTGGATTCCCTGCCAGAGTTAGAACCCAGTGCCCCGGGGCAGCCACAGCGACCAGGTATTGCAACCACAAGGGAAGGAAGAAACACTGGCCGGGCTCCTCAGTTCATCTAAGCAACTCACATGGCCGTGCTGTGGCTCTCCAGATACCCATGTTGGGTGACTACAAGTCATCAAGAAAGGACTGGGGGTGGGGTGGAGACAGAACAGAGGGTGGAGAGAGCTGGCTGATCCTTGGGGACATGCAAGTGGAAGGAGCCTAATGAAGGTCTGATGGAAGTCATGGGATATGGCCAGGACTACAGAGACCCTTGGGGAGAGGCCTACCCTCGCGGCCGGCCCCCAGCCAGGTACCTTCTGGCTGTCAGCATCGCAGAAGGTCAGGCCAAAGTAGTCCTTCTCCAGGAGGTTGAGGTGCTCGCAGACCAGGTCAAACAGCACCTGGCCCCGGCCATGCTTCTAAAGGATAAAACAGAGAGGCAGTGAGGTTAGAAAACACCTTAGGGTGGGACTGGGAGCTGCCCTTGGCTCCACCTGGACACCCAGAAAGTTCTCAAGAGGCTTCCAGTGTCTGGACAGGACCTCAACACTCCTGCCGCATGGCTCTGCTGAGCTGTACAGGGCACAGTGCTCAGCCCAGCCAAGCCTTCTTCCAAGTCCTGCTGGGGTTTCTCCAGATCGTGGACTTGCTTGGGGCAAGTAGAAGTGGAAGTGTGGGAAGTGACTGATTTTTCCTTCCTTACATCAATCAAGAGAAGGAGTGGAACACCAAAGTCCTAAGCTTCGGGTGGGAGAGGAAGAGAAGAATCCCCTAAAAAGTGAGAGCCATGCGAGACTAGTCTGGAGGGCCACCGCCTCCCCAGGTGGCAAGTAAGGTGGAAGAGAGGCTCAGGGGACCTAAACCAGCTCCACTGGAAGCAACACAGTTGGACTCACCTCTCCCACTCCAAAGCAAGGAGGCCTGGGACTACTCTGAACCACAGTCGCAGCATGAGGATTTAGCACAACAAAGCCCAGAGCCAGCCTAGTAAGTCAAACCCACAGGTGTGAAGACAAGCACCCGTCAAGGGATCCAGGTCAGGAGGAACACGAGGCAGTTGCCACCCAGTTAGGGAACTCCAGACAAAGAATGAGATCTCTCCAGGGACCAGGCCTGGACAGGAGAATTCCTGAGCCTACAGGAGCCCATCTGAGAGAGTGAGCTGGTTGAGCCAAACACTCCAAGCACTTCTGGGGCAAGCTGAAGCAGTCCCTGGGAACCATGGGCCAGGAAAGAAAGGGAAAGAGAGAGCCCTTTATTTTGCCCAGGAGCAGGGAAGGTGTTTCACCTTGAAACCCTCCTACCAAAAAAATACACATAAAAACAAACAGAACCAAAGCTTGTGGAGAAGAGGGACCCAGGCCTACCAGAGTTCAGAAGTAAGTCGGAGGCTGGTGCTGTAGCTCAGTGACAGAGCACTTGCCTAGCACTTGTGGGGCACTGAGTTCAATCCTCAGCACCACATAAAAATAAATTTTAAAAATGAAGGTATTATAAAGAAAAAGAAGAAGCCACATCCCTTAAAACCAGGGCATGGGGGAGAAGGGCTCCTATAGATCTCAGTGTTGGGGCCACCATCTGAACTCTTCCACACATGTAGAGAAGGGCTGAGTGCAGGGCCCAGGCAGAAGCAAACCTCTAAGGAAGGAGGGGCTCAGGGTGAGGCAAGTCTGAGCCCTTACTGGACGGGAGACACTAAATGTAGGGCCAGAGGGTTGGCGAGGAGGCATCTGTTATGCTGCTGCTGTGAGGCAGGGACCTGTCACAGGGCCTTCCACATGGATGACAGCATCCTTCCAAGGGGCTGTTTCCCTGGGCTTGGGTGACACATTTACCACGGATAACTAGTTTGTCCTGGAGACTAGAGATGATGCCCTGGATAGGAGTATTCACAAAGAAAGGAAGATCCCTCCTTAGCATCCCCCCGCCAAAAAAATAAAGGGGGATTCTAGTTTAAATGTAGGTATCCGCTAAGGTGAGATAGAACAGCCCAGTTTCTAAGCCCCTGTGATGCAGATCAGCCCTTAGATGGTAACATTCTTGCCAGGGTACAGCCACCTTTTCCTCGTGCCAGCCCTGTGCCATGTCTAATTCTGTTTGCAATCATAATGGTCTTTCTGGGCCTTGTCACCATCTGTACAAAGAAGGGCCAGGCCAGGTCATCTCCCCGGACACTGCAGTTGGCTCAGGACTCCTCTGGTTTGGCCAGGCTAAGGACACATAGGAGCCTGCCCTGGCTCTGAGGCCAGCCAGCCAGGGACAGGACATATGGCGCTGGGTGCTCCCCTACCTCCACCTCACACTCGTACTCAGAGGCATCGAGCAGAGTGACCCGGCAGATGGTACTCTTGTACTTCTTGGCAATCTTTTGGGGTGATTTCTGGGCCTTGCTGGGCGTGGTCCTCTCTGATAGGCCATCGGCCTCGCTGTAGTCCTTCTCCTCCATGTCTAGACTCTGTAGGTCCAAACAGGAAAGAGTCTGGTCATTAAACTTGAAGCCATAGCCTTTCACACAAACAAAAAGCAATCAGGGATAGCTGGGGCTGGACAGACTCCACCATGAGAGTCACTGCCCTCTGTGATCCACAGGGTAACCAGGGGCCATGGCTTGGTGTGTGTAGGAGAACTCAAGTTTCCATGGGCAATGAGGGCTCTTCATCTGTGTCTTCCCTGGAGGCTGCTGCTAACAGGGCAGCATCTTCAGGCAGGAGTTTCCCACAAAACCAAGCCCATGGTTAGAGCTCTCCTGCCTCCCTGGAATAGTGTGCGAGTTATGGGGCAACCACCTGGCTCCTCCTTCTCGGCTGTCACAGGGTTAGCATGAGGCTGGCAGCTGTGGATGGATCACCTGGAGGCAAGGGCCAGAGCCCAACCCTGACTCCCTCAATGGCCTTGGTTCAGTCCCTGCCCTCCTTGGGCCTATTGTAAAGTAAGGAGGTATGAATTTGGGGGCTAGATGATCCTTCAAATCACCCCAAAACTTTAAGGTGCTCCAGGGTCACATTGGGCTTGCTAAGCTAGAATGAAAAGGCTCAAAGGTGGGAAAATAAAGTTGAAAGAACAGTTTTTGGAGGTCAGGCCTAGGTTTGACTTTCGCCTCTATCACTTCATGGCAAGGTAACTTTGGGTAACTCACTTCATTCCACTCCGTCAGTTTCTCCAAGTGTAAAATGGTGAAATGAGCAGCTACCCTCTGAAGTTCAGAGAATTAAATATAAATGGGATCACGATGCTCCCAGCATAGTGCTCAGCACATAATGGGTCACAAATAAATCTTAGTTTCCTCCTTCCTTCCTGATGAGGAAACACTGGGTCCCTAAGAACTGGAACCCCCAGGACTGGCTGGGCAGGAGGAAGGCCCTCAGGCCCTCAGGTGCATACCTGTTCAGCAGGCCGAGCGTCCTGCTGGGGCGGTTGCTTCTCATTGGAGTTGGCCTCTGGGTGGCCGTGGCCTGCGGGAGTCACAGGGGTGGTCACAGCAGCAGCAGCCTCAGGCTGTTGTGGGGCCTCCTCCTGAGCCTTCTTCACCTCAGAATCAGGGCCTGTCTCTGTTGTCATGGTGACCAGCACGCCTGCATTGGCATGAAGGAGAGCATGTGACAGGGGAAAGGGACGGTGATAGTGTAACAGAGGGGGCAGGAACCACATGCAGAGAGAGACAGATGGAGACAAATGGACAGAGAAGGAGGGAGAGGGAGGGATGGGGGAAAGGGAGGATGGAGTCATGAGAAGTGAGGAGTTAGTGGCAGAGCTGAGGTCATAGGCCCCCCTCCCACCCTGTGCCCATAGATCCTCAAGGACTCTGATCTCTCAGCCCAGACCTAGAATCTGAGCCCTTTCTAGGGATAATGAGGGTCTCTTCAGAGAGCCCCCACTCTACCAAGGAGCACAGGGTAACTAGCCTCAGGCAGGACCCTGGCCAGGCTGTCTCCAATCACAGTACCTGGCACATGCTATTCCCTCAAAAACATTGAATGCACTGAACTCAATCAAGAGAACCCTGAGTTTCGGGCCCTTTGGGCACTGAGTCTGGACAAGCCTCTTCATGCCCCAAGCTGCAATAATTCTTGCACATACATCTCAGTCCCACCCCCAGGGATGCTGTCAGGATGGGCCCACAGGGATAACAGCAGGTAAGCACCTGTTAAAAATACACCACCCTACCCATGGCAAAGTCAGGGGAATGCGCTCTGGCCCAAGCCTGCCACAAATGTGGCAATCACTTTACCTCTCTACAAAGTGAGGGACTTAAGGTATTATTTCTGGGACAAACTATTAGTTCTTTCCCCCTCGAAGCATTAAATGAAATTCTAGAGAGAATCAAGGACCTAGTGTTCAACTATTTTGTTGAAATTAGTCAACTGGAGAGACAGAGAGAGAGAACAGCATAGTCATATTTACATATTTAAAAAACAATAAATAATAACCTCAGCACCATATGTTTGTGTTTTACACAGTTAGGAAAAGATCTGAAAGGACACTCACCAGAGGTTAAAGGAAAAGTGAAAGAGATCTTGGGAATGGGGTGAGATAAGCGAGGAAGTTTGATTTTTCACTTTATATCATTTGGAGTTAACTTGTATCTTTTTAAATGGGTGGATGGATGGATAGACAGATATTAACCTACAAGTGTTATTTTAAGGGCAAAAGCACCCTCACCTGATCCCAATTAGTGGATCCTCAAAAGGGGTGGGGGGTGGTTTGTAGCTAAAACCTGGGGAACAGAGAAATGAGCAGGAACCTTCACCACTAAATACAGGCCCTTCCTCTAAATCCATCAGATTACTGTGTATGAGAAAGATCCAGACTAGACCCATCAGGCCCCTCTCTCCACCCCATCCACCAGGGTAGGTCTCTGACTGCCAAGTAGACACTGAATCCACTCTAGGCAATGCAGAGTCCTTGCCCCAACTTCCTTTATTTTCCTTGCAGTGCTGGGATTGAACCTAGGGCCTCATGCGTCCTAGGCAAGGGCTCTCCTACCCCAGCCCATTCTTTTTATTCTTTGGTTTCTCTCTCTGCATTCCTGTGGGCACTTGTGTGGCCCAAAGTAAAAGTATTGGACAGAAAGTCGGGAACCCTAAGAGCCCCACTCAGCCACAGGGGCACTCCAGGGCTCTGGAGGGGTCATGGCATCCTCAGTCCACACAGAGCTGTCACAAGTGGAAAGCTTTGTGAGCTGGAGCTTCTAGCACAAATAAGACGGTGTGTTGTTATGGATGCTACTGTTTTTGTTTGTTTGTTTGTTTGTTTTTTGTTTTTTTAAATTTTAATATTTATTCATTTATTTTTTCTTAGTTCTCGGCGGACACAACATCTTTGTTGGTATGTGGTGCTGAGGATCGAACCCGGGCCGCACGAATGCCAGGCGAGCGCGCTACCGCTTGAGCCACATCCCTAGCCCCCAGATGCTACTGTTAAGAAGAAAGATTAGGAGGGCTGGAGGGGTGCACGCCTGTCATCTCAGCGACTCAGGAGGCTGAAACAGGAGGATCACAAGTTTGAGGCCAGCCTGGGCAATTTAGTGAGGCCCTAAACAACTTTGTAAGACCCTGTCTCAAAATGAAAAGTATAAATAAGGACTGGGGTTGTAACACAGTGGTACAGTGCTTGCCTAGCACATGTGAGGCACTGGGTTTGATCCTCAGCACCACATAAAAAAATAATAAATAAAAGTATTGTGTCCATCTACAATTTAAAAAAAATTTAAATATATATATATATATATATATATACACACACACACACACACACACACACACACACACACACACACACACAGAAAGGGTTTGGGATGTAGCTCAATGATAGAACACCGCCCGTTCAATTCCCAGTACCAGAAGAACAAGGAGAAGAAGAAAGAGGTGGAGTAAGGGAGGGCCTTAGCCACATTGCCTCACTCCCACCCACAAAGGCTTTCCCTCCAGCCATTACACTGGGCCCTAGGGGTACATCTTCAAGCCATAGTTACATAAAAGCGCTCCATCATTCACATGACATTAAGTGCTGACTCTGGGCCAGGACACAAAGTGACAAAAACTGCTCTGGGGGAGCTCGCAGCCTAGGAAAGGTCAACCTGAGACCTGTCTGCCAGGCTCAGGATCTTTCCTAGACCTGCGCTTGATACGAGTTATCATGTTAGGTAAGACCAATAGGCAAGAACCCTCGAAATAAATGCTTACTTAATTTCACTTAAAAAAATCCACAGATTAATGTGCCTGTTTTCTGCGGTGAGAAGCAGAATCCCTGTGACTCTCATGCCAGGCAGTGCAGGGGTGCATCCACTCCCCCACTCCTGGTGGCCTCTTGCCTGGAGGCCCTCAGACCCTCAGAACTTTCTCCCAGGTCTGAGTGTCCTTGGAAATAACCAGGAAAGCAATCTTAAAAAAATAACCCCGTCTTCCCTGTGTGTCTCCAGCAGAGCCTGCTGCAGACAGTGCCACCGATAAGAGGAGCTGGATGTCTTTTGAGACAATTAAATCTATTCCTCTTCTTTTATAGGTGACACTCAGAGAGCGAGAAACTTGAATGACAGTCACATCCTCAGACAGGGCTCCTCTTCTTCCTCCATCCACCCTCCTCCCCACCCAGCTGCCTGACTTCCCAGTTCCTAACTCCAGGTCCATTTTCTCTCCTCTACACCTGGCTGCCTCAAGCAAACCCCATCAGACACACCTAGAAGGAAAAAGCACTCAGGCCCAATTGAACACCAAGATGTGCAGGCTGAACCCACAGCCAGGGGCAGGGGATAGATGATCCCTCATCCTCTCAGCAAGTGGAAGAAAAAAGGATACAGAAAATCCTGGACAACGTTTGAATGACAAAGCACAGGACATGACAGTTTATACAGATGAGTCCTATTTTAATTAAAATACACACACAGATCCAGATGGTCCCCAATTTACGATGGTTCGACTTACATGTTTTTTTTAAAGATTTATCTATTTTTAAGTTTTTTAAGTGGACACAATATCTTTATTTTACATTTATGTGGTGCTGAGAATCGAACCCAGTGCCTCGTGCATGCTAGGCGAACACTCTACCACTGAGACACAACCCCAGCCCCAACTTACATGTTTTTGAAGTTATGACAATGTGAAAACATACCCAGGCAACCATTTTGCTTCTTACTTTCAGTATAGTATACAATAAATGACAGGAGATTTGGGGCTAGGGATGTGGCTCAAGCGGTATCGCGATCACCTGGCATGCGCAGGGCGCAGGGTTCGATCCTCAGCACCACATAAAAATAAAATAAAGATGTTGTGTTCACCGAAAACTGAAAAATAAATATTAAAAAATTCTCTCTCTCTCTCTCTCTCTCTCTCTCTCTCTCTCCCCTATCTTTTTAAAAAAACATGACAGGAGATTTGTAACACTTTATTATATAATAGGCTTTGTGTTGGAAGATCATGCCCAACTCTAGGTTAGTTAATGTAAGTGTTCTGAGTACACTGAAGTTTGGTTCAGCTAAGCTATTCAGTAAGTGAAAATTTTTTTTTTAGTTGTTGATGTACCTTTATTTTATTTATTCATATGTGGTGCTGAGAGTTGAACCCAGGGCCTCACACATGCTAGGCAAGTGCTCTACCATTGAGCTATATCCCCAGGCCTTGAATGCATTTTTTATTTATGATATTTTCAACTTACACTGGGTTTTTCAGGCTATAATATTGTGCTATGTCAAGAAACATCTACATAGAAAATGTAAAAACATATTACCCATGGTTATTTCTGGATACAGATTGCTATTTTTTGCTTCTTTCAATTTAAATGTAGCTCTTGATTTTTCTACTATAGTTGGAGATTCCTTGAATTATTTATTGATTAATTTATTTTTTCAGATGGGGTTCTCACTATGTTGGCCAAGCTTGCTTTGATCTCCTAGGCTTAAATGATCCTCCTGCCTCAGCCTTCTGAGTAGCTGGAACCACAGGCAGGCATCACCATGCCTGCAGGGCTCCTTAAATAATTGTTTTAAAAATTAAAGGTTAAATTTTTTTTTTTCTGATGTACATGGCTTGGTATCACAGGATTAGAAGGAGATTAAAATTTGGTTTTAATTTAGGAATTAAAAAAGAAAAATGCAGTATCTTTTCTAAAACCTATGATGAAATCTCTATTTGACTAATCCAAGGATAGCAACATGGTTTTCTCACTAGGCCACAAAGAAGGGGCCAAGGACCTGGCCTTGGCTTCTGACACAGCTGGCCACATGAGCACAGATCTGCTCAGGCCCAGGTCAGCACAGACTGATGGAAACTGCTAGGTGGCAGGCCAGGCCAGGTCCCAGTGGGGATCCTTGGGGGAAGCACATGCTGGTTCCCATGGAGCTTGCTGCAACAAGAGGATGACACTGTCCCAGGAGATGGCACGTTGTGACTTAGATTTGCTAGTGTATGTATCAGCCTCTCAGAAGAGACTGGACCTGATGATTAATAATGTGGCCTGCAGTTTCCAAAGATGACATCTAGGATAGGGGCTAGAGGTGACATTAGGAGTGTTTAGACAGAAGATGGCAGAGAGCTTTTGAGCTGAGTCACCATTTGGGCAAAGGCCTAGAGATGGGCCA